AACACAAGCAAATAGGAAGGAAACCGCAAAATCTAGCAAATTCAGAAGAAAATATTACATACCATAAATTGTTCTCACAATACCAAACACAAGTTTAAAGGCCTCCACGAGGAACGGTGCATGTTGCAGGAATCGAAGCAGGAAAGAAGTCGTGAGAAGATCACCCCTGGGCCGCGCCGCTGCTCGTGGTGGAGTCGCGCTTGTCAGCTCCACCCCCCGAGGCCGCGGAGCCAGCAGTGCCTCGCTTGGGTGCGGTGTTGAAGGCGCGGAACTTTGCCAGCAAGGCCTCCGCTTGGCCCTTCACGGCCTCGGCAGCAGCGGTGGAGCGCTTGGCATCCACAGGCTCCAGCAGACCGTCAAGGTTGGCGTCGGGGTTGCAGAGGTAGATGTGGCCGAGGATCCACGTCAGCGCTGCGGAGGAAAGGACATGAGCCTCAACTTCGGCCATGGGGCCGATGCCGATCACGACCTCCTCAAGCACCCCAACCAGGAAGGGAACCAGCTTGGCGGGGCCTTCCGTGGCTCCGGCCAGCGGTTTCTCCAAGCCCTCTTCATAAAGCGTCTTCAGCGCCATGCGAGCCCTCTCCTCATAATGCGTGAAGGCCACGCGGTCCTCGACCAAGACCTTCGCCTTGGCGTCCAGCTCAACCCTCTCCGCTTTCAGTGTCTGCTCCAGCCTCTTCAGCCGGCCGCGGTCAGCTGAGAGTTCGGCATCGCGGTCCTTGGCGGCAGCCTCCCGAGCCTTCATCTCCTCCTCCTTTGCCTGACGGTCGCGAACCTCCTTGGCAAGCTCATCACGCAGCCCTTGCAGCTCACCCTCCAGCATCTTGTAGTGCCCCTTGACAGTTGAAGCATCCTTCAATGCTGTGTCGCGAGCGACTATGGCCTGGGAGGTGACTTGCTTCTCCTCCTCGGAAGCCGTCACAGCCCGGCTCAGCGCCGCTCGGACGGAGGCGTCAGAGCGAACCCAGCCGGAGACCAACTCCAGGCGCCCGGCCACCAGGCGGGGGTCGGCACCCCGAAGATCCTCTCGCAGTCGACTCAGCTCGTCGGCAGCGCGGTCCAAGGCGATGGAGGAGGCAGAGGAGACGGGAACCGGTGGAGTAGGAGGGGAAGACGGCAGCGTGATCACAGCTTGGGAGGTGGGGACCTCCTGAGCCTTGACAACTTTGGCGACAGCATCAAGCGCAAGTGCCTCCAGAGTCAGCGGGGCCACGGGGGCTGGCTCCCCACCAGGGCGTCCCTCCTGGCCTCGCGAGGATGATCGGGCAGGGGAAGTGCGAGCCCCGCTGCCTCCCTTTCCCGTGAGTGAAGGCGCAACCACGGCAGATGAGCCCGCCCCAAGCGGGGTCGCCGTGTCTCCCTTCAGCCTCTTCGCCGCAGGTGGCGGCCTACCCAAATAAGGGATGTCAGGCCTCGAGGCAAAAACAGGGGCAAAGCAGAGCTCGAGTACTTACTAGTCGGCTGCCTCGGGGTCCCACGGCCTCCGGCCGAGCTTGAAGCCTGAGAGCCTCTTGCGGGGCTCAGCCTTGGGAGGTCCAGCAGCAGAGGAAGGCGCACCAGAAGGGCTAGAGCTGGCTTCAGGCGGCACCAGGGCTGGAGTAGACCCTCGGGAGATCAGCCCCGACCTGTCCTTCTTCGGGATCAAGGGCGGGTCCTCTCCCCCTCGCCTGGCGACGGCCTCGTCGTCGTCCTGCATGGAGCGGAGGGCGCTGGACCTGCGCCAGGGGGAAGTCTCCCCCATCCCCTCGATGGTCGCCTCCGAGTCACGCTCCTCCTCCTCCTCTTCATCTTCCTCTTATCCCCCACCGAAATCATCAGAGGACAAGTCCACCGTCACCGTCGCTGCCTGGCCCTCAGGGGCCTCCGCCGGCACCAAACCGACCCCGTCGAAGGTGGGCATGGTGTCCACCACCCGCTCCTAGTCATCGCGAAGGAACAAGGGGACCGCAGCGCCCTCCGGGCTTGCCACGTCCTCCCCGACCAGGAAGCGGAGGGCTGCGGTCAGATCCTTGTCAGCTAGGGCAGCCGAGCTCAGGCGGAGGACTGCGTCCGCATCCTCGAGCCTCCATAGTGGGCGCGAGTGCGCCTGATGAGGGGCCACCCGGTGCGACGGGAACTCCCTCAGGAGCATGGCCCCGGTTAGCTTCGCCGCCCTCAGATTGCCCGGCCTCAGGTCAACTTTCATCTTCTCCAGCACCAGCTTCACCCGCCGGTCGTCGAGCTTCATGCGAGACCACGCCTCGACGGCCTCGGGCTGCTCTGTGGGCAGCTCCAGCAGGGAGTTGGTGCATATGGCATTCACCATGATCCACTTGCTCCGGAAGCCATCAGCCCTCTTCCCGACCTTCGAGATTGCGTTGGATTTGGAGTACGCGACAAAGCCTGCACATGCCGAGATATTGGCGCCAGTGACCCGGAGGGAGAAGAAGTGGCGCAGCAAGGCCACGGAGGGCATCACCCCAACGTGTGCCTCACAGTAGTAGGTGAAGATCGACAAGAGGAGAATGGAGTTGGGGTGGAGATGCAGAGCATGCAGCTGATATTGGCGGAGGACAGCAAGGAAGAACTCGGAGAAAGGAGGCACCAGACCAGCGATGACGGTGCTCATGAAGAGGGGGTAAAAGGTGCTCCCCTTGTCCTTCGGCTGGGCGGAGCCGATCCGGAGCGTAGTCTTCCCCATCTCGTTGCCCTGCGCCGCCGCCATCTGGCGCATGCGGGCAAGATTCTTCTCCTTCATGTTTGGAGGATCCAGAGCCGGCGAGTACCAGGCCGGTGGAGCCCCGGCCGCGGTCTTGCGGGGCGCCATTGCTCGCTGGAGATGAAAGGCTAAGGCAGATCTAGAGATTTCGGAAGCAGGAGGGCGAAGAGCAAGAAAGGGGATCTGGAGCAAGGTGAGTGAGAGTAATGAAAGTAAGCCCAGCCCCGGCCCAGCCTCTTTGTCAGTCGGGCAGTTGCCAAGGCAGCGTGGGGAAGCGGAGATGCCCACGTCCAATCCACCGCCATGCGGTGCCCAGGGCCGCAGGCTGTTGGAGCCCGCGGCGCTCCGCACTTGCCCCTTCGCTTCTCTACTAAGCCAAGTCCGAGCGTGCCTTGGGCCCGGGGGCTACTGTCGGCGTTCTGGGAACGGGGGTCCCCAGACTTGCTTGCCTGCGGCCTGCGGCGTGGCTCAAGTGCAGGCCCAGTGCGGCCCATCTTCATCAACGCAAACTTAAGACCCTCGCGAGGGGCCAAGCCTCGCAGGGCCGACGACGCAAGGCTTCCTCAGGAGCGGCCTCGCCAGGCAGGCTCGCGAGGAGGCGGAGAGATCAAGGCAAGGGTACCCCACGAGGTGCTCATGACGCAAGTCGTGACGATCGATACCAGGTGGGCGCCGGCCTGTGCCCTTGTTTCCTCTTTGGTGCAAGGGGGGCAAGCACAGGTGCGGAGTACCGAGGCATCAGGCAAAGGTTTCCATATTGGTGCAACGAGACCAAGACCAGCAGAGCGGCAGGATGGAGGTCACCGTGGAGCCCAAGATGGTGTCATCGCCAGTACCTTTGGCAGCCGAAGACCAACTTTAGTCAGGATAGCTTGTACCAGATGTTCCCCTTCAAAATGGCCGTTGTTGGCACCCTTCCCGCTCAATATTTGGGAAGAGGACCAGGGCCTCTATATATAGAGATAGCCACAGTAGGAAGGCATCGAGTTCTAACCAAGCCAACGGGGATCGAATCCTTTCCTACGAGAACACCACACCAGCTCAAGAACACCTCTCGCGAGGCTGTTCTTCCCCTTGTACTGTTCATCATCCGCCCCTGAGGCAATCCACCACACCACACACTGGAGTAGGATATTACACCACAACGGTGGGCCAAACCAGTATAAATCTTGTGTCCCTCGTGTTGTTCATCGTTTAGCTTGGATTCTCGCAAGGCGTTTGGGCGTGGGTTGGTAGGGGGAAGATCTTCGTGCGAACCCCAGAGTTCGAACCTTAAGGGTCTGCCGGAACCCCACATCCGACAATGAATATGAATTCAATTGTTTAGGTGTTTGTTGAATTGGCTCATGGAATTTTACTGAGGTTTCAATATAGAATCTTGTTTGGATGTCAAACTATGGAATTGCATAGCAACATAGTATGTACATAAAACAAAAAGTTGTACAATGTGTGAATACAATTGGATGAATATATAGCAAAAAATACTATCAAATATTCTAGAAATTGGTGACAACATTATATATCATATAATTGATGCAACAACAACAACAAATTTCTTGCACCAACAAAGTACAACACAATAGATATTCCAAATTCACAACAACACATAGTTCCAAATTAAACAACACGATAGTTCAGATAAGTTGAAGTTCAACATGACTGGTCCCAAATGTAGCAAAATAATAGTCTAGATAGGTTCAAGTTCAACCAGACAAATAGGAAAGCATAATTTGCATAACTTCAAGGCAACAATAGCAGCCAAGTCTTCCTCATGTGCATGGGCAGCTCCATTAGAACTTCAAACAAACACTCATTAAGAATCAACTTCCCATAAGAGCGCAACATATCCGCTTCTGCCAAATCTGGTATCAATTGAAGTGCAGCAAGTATTTCAGAAGGAGTAGTAGCCTTTGGCAATGGAAGTGGATCAGCCGTCTTCAAAGCGTCTTTAAAAGTAGTCATCATCTCTCCAATCATGCACATAATGGCCTCACCTGTTCGTGCTCTCTTTGGTACCATTTTTTGAGAGATTTCAATTGGTGCTTCTGGCTCTGCAGCATTCTCAGCACCCATCGTGGCACCTTTCATGTTGGCATGATCTTTCGAATATATGGTAGATATGGAAACCCAGTGCTTCACTACTTTGGCCTTGTAAGAACATGTCCCCTTTTCTTTTGCTTTATTCACCTGCACCATGAACACACATAAGAAGAGAATAGTTGTTGCCCCATATTCTTATATAAGGAAAAACTCAAATAAAACAATGCAAATATATAGAAGTTACCTCCACATATTTAGTCTAGACATCGTCACTATCAATGGATAGCTTACGGTTGACCCAATCCCACCCAAAACCACTTTGAGAAAGTATCTTGCTTATGACTTCAAATTGCTTGTCGAAAGTCCTAAGCCTTCCCAAGATGTTTTCCTTTTCGATATCCTTATTACACTTCTCCTTCACATTCTTTATAGCTGCAGTGTACACATGTGCTTTCCATACATTTTGTGAATGGTCACCCATGTTGTGATGATGAACAAGCACCTCAAGCATAGCAGTGTCCATGTCATCATCCCAAGTGACGTAATTCCTCTTTGGAGGTGGTGCAGTACCTTCAGCCATGGTGCTACAAAAAAAGAAAAATGCACATAGAAGAATAGTATGTTTGATCAACAAATGGTTCATCACATAGTAAATTTTAAGCAAACCTATCATATACAAAGGAACACACAACGCACCATCATGGTCAGCTATGCTATCTCACAAAAGACAATCAGCAAGTGACCAACATCACCTGGGTACTATACAAAATGAGACCACCATTACCTAGGTAATGCACAAAATGGGACCACTATCACCTAGGTACTGCACAAAATGAGACCACCACCACCTAGTCACTCCATCTCCAGTTCAGCATGCCTAAGAAAGTATTTAGCATACATGTATTTCGATAATTGTTGCCTAAAGTTGGTCCATTCATTAGTGACTTCAACACACGTAATTAAGTTAGCTTCATTCATACGCTCATGTTCCAAATCTGCTAGATCATTGTCAACTTCTTGCAGCAATAAATCATCCATCATATGCTACCTATCTCTTGCAAAGTTGTGTAACACACAACAAGCATTAATAATTCGAATCTGCAAGGAATTTTATTCATAGTTAGCATGTCATGCTAGCCATATATTATTTAACACCATATGGACATTTGTTACCTGGTCGTTTATGTCAAAGAAAGATTGAATTCTTAGGATGGCCTATTTTTTCTTCCACAATCCGAAAGTTCTCTCCACTACATTTCTAGCATGAGAATGATGCAAGTTGTACAATTCTTTAGAAGTTTGGGGCTGTTGTTGACTTGAAACCCACTCTTTCAAGTGGTACCTAGTCGATCTGAATGGAGCCAAAAAGCCAGGTCCATTGGCGTAGCCAACATCCACTAGGTAATATTTTCCTATGGTTGACCAATTAAAGTTAGTTATCAATAACATATAGAAAAAATAAATGAAATGCCAAGAAAAACTAGTCATACCGTGAGGTATAACAAATGCATCTTGACGATCGTTTCTCATTGCATCATGCAATACTGTGGAGTCAGAAGCAGAACCCTCCCAGCCAGGTAGAACATAAAGAAATTTCATGTTCCAGTCAACAACACCTTAGCATGTTCGTGGTGATATCTTGCTTTTTGTTCCTATACCTTCCTTGGTCAGTCGGAACAATAGAGATGTCAACATGACACCCATCTAGTGCTCCCAATGCATTGCTAAACCACTTTCCATTTGTAATCATCTAGAGGTTCAATAGAAGGATCCGGAAGCTTTATAATTAAACTCCCCACTTAGGGAAAGAATGGCTATTAACACACTCGAGAAGTGCCTACTAATTGTCTCTAAAGAACGCTTGTAAGTGCCGCAGAGCAACCTCATCTTAAGACCATGTCCAAGCACCAATAAAAACATTGCAACCTTTTCTTCTACAGTCACATATATGCTGCCAACCAAGCCACACTTCTCACGCAACATAGCACATAAATCATGGAAGTTTCTTTTAGTTAATCGCAACTCATCACAGCAAGTTACTTCTAAACCATAGTACATTTCTTTGAGCAAATACTTCCTAAGACCATATCGATGCTCCTCGTAACTGAAGCATCCTAAACTCTTTGGTGCCCTTTGCGTACTAAGATAAGCTAGTGCAAGACAAACTGACTCATCATACATTACTGTCAATACAATCCTTTTCCTTTTTCTTCTTTTGTTCTTGTCGGTAAGCAATTAAGTCCAGTTGACACATTATGGAGCTACAAGCACACATATACAAACACTAATTATGAAGTTGACATTAGCAGCACACAAAATCATTGACAGAGAAAAATATGAATTATTCAATCATCACATGAGTAGGACAGAACATCACATATTCAACATCTCAATTGATAGAGAAAAGCATGATTTTTTTTCACCTCAAACTGGCCCCGTGGTGATGAAATCAATCCGCACAAACATACAAGTTTAGGTCAGCAAACTTTGCAAAAAAAAATGGACCAACATAGGACAATCTGCGCCAATCAGCATGAACACATGGCTATAATAGTAAAAGAAGGGGCCAGAGGAGGAGGTGGTCGATTGGCGAGGAAGGAGAAAGATCTAGGGCAGTAGGGGGAGAAGATGAAGGGGGCAGAGGAGGAGGTGTCGGTGGATGGCGCCCAAGGAGGAGGATTCGGGGTGGTAGAGAAAGAAGAAGCAGGGGGCGAGAGGAGGTGGTGCTCCGATGGCAGCCAAATCTGATGGATTAGGGGATTCAGAAGGGGCGGAGGGGGACTGTGATACGTCTCCAATGTATGTATAATTTTTTATTGTTTCATGCTATTATATTATCTGTTTTGGATGTTTTATATGCATTAATATGCTATTTTATATTACTTTTGGGACCAGCCTATTAACCAAGTGCCCAGTGCCAGTTTATGTTTTTTTCTTGTTTTTGACTTTTACAGAAAGGAATATCAAACGGAGTCCAAACGGAATAAAACTTTACGAAGATTTTTCTTGGACCAGAAGAAACACACGAGACTTGGGGAGGAGGCCAGAAGACCCGCGAGGGGGCCACAAGCCCTGTAGGCGCGCCCTAGGGGGGCGCGGCCAGGGGGCTTGTGCCCCCTAGCTCCCCTAACCCTAGCTCCAGCACTATAAATCCTCAAATATTCCCTCTATACCAGAGGGCACACCAAAAATACTTTTCCGCCGCCACAAGCTTTTTTTCCCGTGAGATCCCATCTTGGGGCCTTTTCCGGCACTCCGGCGGAGGGGGGTTCGATCACGGAGGGCCTCTACATTAACTTTGTTGCCCTTCCAATGATGTGTGAGTAGTTTACCATGGACCTAAGGGTCCATAGCTAGTAGCTAGATGGCTTCTTCTCTCTCTTTGATCTTCAATAAAATGTTCTCCTCGATGTTCTTGGAGATCTATTCGATGTAATCTTCTTTTGCGGTGCGTTTGTTGAGATCCGATGAATTGTCGATTTATGATCAGATTACCTATGAATATTATTTGCGTCTTTTCTGAACTCTTTTATGCATGATTGAGATAGCTTAGTATTTCTCTCCGATCTATCAATTTGGTTTGTCCTACTAGATTATTTTTTCTTTCAATGGGAGAGGTGCTTTGTGATGGGTTCAATCTTGCGGTGTCCTCACCCATTGACAGAAGGGGTACCGAGGCACGTATTGTATTGTTGCCATTACGGATAAAAAGATGGGTTTTATATCATATTCCTTGAGTGTATCCCTCTACATCATGTCATCTTGCTTAAGATGTTACTCTGTTCTTATGAACTTAATACTCTAGATGCAGGCAGGAGTCGGTCGATGTGTGGAGTGATACGTCTCCTACGTATCTATAATTTTTGATTGTTCCATGCTATTATATTACCCGTTTTGGATGTTTATGGGCTTTACTTTACACATTTATATCATTTTTTGGGACTAACCTACTAACCGGAGGCCCAGCCCGTATTGCTGTTTTTTTTTGCCTATTTTAGTATTTCGAAAAAAAGGAATATCAAACGGAGTCCAAATGCAATGAAACCTTCGAGAGCGTGATTTTTGGAACAAACGTGATCCAGAGAACTTGGAGTGCAAGTCAAGAAGCAGCCGAGGCGGCCACGAGGGTGGAGGGCGCGTCCACCCCTACAGGGCGTGCCCCCTATCTCGTGGGCCCCTCGGGCGGCCACCGACCTACTTCTTCCTCCTATATATACCCACGTACCCTGAGAACATCAGAACAAGCCACGAAAACCTAGTTCCACCGTCGTAACCTTCTGTATCCGTGAGATCCCATCTTGGAGCCTTCACCGGTGCTCCGCCGGAGGGGGAATCGACCATGGAGGGCTTCTACATCAGCACCATAGCCCCTCCGATGAGTTGTGAGTAGTTTACCACAGACCTTCGGGTCCATAGTTATTAGCTAGATGGCTTCTTCTCTCTTTTTGGATCTCAATACCATGTTCTCCTCGATATTCTTGGAGATCTATCTGATGTAACTCTTTTTGCGATGTGTTTGTCGAGATCCGATGAATTGTGGGTTTATGATCAAGTTTATCTATGAGAAAAATTTGAATCTCCTCTGAATTCTTTTTTGTATGATTGAGTTATCTTTGCAAGTCTCTTCGAATTATCAGTTTGGTTTGGCCTACTAGATTGATCTTTCTTGCAATGGGAGAAGTACTTAGCTTTGTGTTCAATCTTGCGGTGTCCTTTCCCAGTGACAGCAGGGGCAGCAAGGCACGTATTGTATTGTTTCCATCGAGGATAAAAAGATGGGGTTTATATCATATTGCCTGAGTTTATCCCTCTACATCATGTCATCTTTCTTAATGCATTACTCTTTTCTTATGAACTTAATACTCTAGATGCATGCTGGATAGCGGTCGATGTGTGGAGTAATAGTAGTAGATGCAGGCAGGAGTCGGTCTACTTGTTGCAGACGTGATGCCTATATACATGATCATGCCTAGATAATCTCATAATTATTCGCTTTTCTATCAATTGCTCGACAATAATTTGTTCACCCACCGTAATACTTATGCTATCTTGAGAGAAGCCACTAGTGAAACCTATGGCCCCCGGGTCTATCTTTTATAATATAAGTTTCAATCTACTTTTATTTGCACCTTTACTTTTCCAATCTATATCATAAAATACCAAAAATATATTTATCTTATCATACTATCTCTATCAGATCTCACTTTCGCAAGTGGCTGTGAAGGGATTGACAACCCCTTTATTGCGTTGGTTGCGAGTTCTTTGTTTGTTTGTGTAGGTGCGTGGGACTTTTGAGGAGCCTCCTACTTGATTGATACCTTGGTTCTCAAAATCTGAGGGAAATACTTACGCTACTATTGCTGCATCACCCTTTCCTCCTCAAGGAAAACCAACGCAAGCTCAAGACGTAGCATGGAGTAATAGTAGTGGATGAAGGCAGGAGTCGGTCTACTTGTCACGAACGTGATGCCTATATTCATGATCACTGCCTTAGATATCATCATAACTTTGCGCTTTTCTATCAGTTGCTCAACAGTAATTTGTTTACCACCGTATGCTTTCTTCGAGAGAGATGCCTCT